GCAGGCAATTAGCCGATTAAGGGTGCGGTTAGAAGTTACAATATAAGGAAGCATTAGAAGCTGGAAAGCTTACTGCGACTAACTGTGACTTACTGTGACTAACTGTGTCTTACTGTGACCGTAACTGTGCCTGTGACTGAGATGTTCCTGTCTGCTACTGTTTGCTGATTTACTGCGTAATTCTACTGTTCTACTGTTTGAACTTCTTGCTGAATATCCAGCGTTTGTTCCTCTGGAGAGAGGCACCGGAGGAGGAGAAGATATCTTTATCGGCTGATAAAGATATTGCAAGGACTCTTAACTTGGACTATACTAGTGAGTCTTACTGGATGGAAATATAGTAAATGACTAATGGACTGAATGACAATGCTTTAAACTCTAAATGGATTAAAAACTATTTAAACTACAAAGAAGTGTTTGTGTTCAGTGTGTGTATACTCTGGGGCCCTTCCACTCTCGTTTGGCTGCCTGGCTTGACTACTGCTGCAATACTCTGCTAGGGGTTAATTCCCAAAAAACTAACACAAGGCATCCTTAGGACTTACATTGATCACACGTCAGCAATCAATATAGCAGGGAGGGAATAAATGGCCTGTTTCTAAGCATGTCCTTTTGCACATGTCACTATCCATCTCTGAATTCAACTACTTAGAAAATCCATTTAAATATGCCCTTGTTGATTATTTAATGGCCTGTTCAAAAGACATTTCAAAAAGCTGTTTGATATTCTTTTGCACTGAAAGTAAGTGTGAAATCCACCAAATAGCTTCATTCTGACCACTATATTAGCTTTGATGAAGCAGTTCAGTCCGTTTCTATCAGAGTCCAGAATCCCTCAAACATCGTTATTCATCACAATATCATCATTTTATCCATATTGTGCATAGTTTTTTTTGTTCTCTTATCACGTGACCCTCCAACTTCTTGGGTTGTTCCTCTTTATGTCCCTGCAGAAAGACTGCTTGTAACCATCAGTTTGCTAAAGTAGATTCTTGTAGCATTTTCCTCCAGGCTGCCTTTAGTCAGGGCAATTTAAAAAAAATGGACAGACATTATGTACTTACCATCTGGGCTGAAAGCTGTAACCAGGCAAGCAATTCCAGCCACCAGATTAGATGCTGCCCAGGGATAACGACGGCCTACACGCTCTATGGTGATGATGAGGATGAAAGCAGCTGGAAATTCAACAAGGGTGGCATAGAAAAAATCCAGGTAAACATTTCCACCAGCAACTCCTATGTGCATAATAAGTCCTTGGTACATTATGGCACTTGTGAACCTAGGAAAAGAAGAACAACAATAGATACAAACTTAAGGTAAACCACTCCAAACTTGATTGCAGAAAATACGATGTCAGCAACAGAGTTGTCAATCCCTGGAATGCACTACCTGACTCTGCGGTCTCTTCCCCAAACCCTCAAAACATTAACCTCAGATTGTCTTCTGTTGACCTCACCCCATTCCTATGAAGTCTGTAAGGGGCATGCATAAGAGCACCAACCTGCCTACCGTTCCAGTCCTAATGTCCCCTTTTATCTGTACCCATTTGATGCACTCATAATCATGTTCCTAATTATATCTGTTATCAAAAACATGCTTGACAAAATAAATAAATAAAAATAAAACAACAGTTAATTGGGTCTAGATTTATTATCCAGCAAGTCTGGAAAGAATCAGTGCTCCAGATTTGTCATGTCAATCCCACATTATGTTACTAATATAAGCAAGCTGATGCATGATCAGGTTTTGTTAGTAGAAGTTTTTTGGTCTTCTGGGATTTTGACTGTGAAAAAGTTTGGTTCTCCATGTGGGCATGTATGTTCCTTAGATTTGCATCCATATTTCTTCTATTGATTTGCATCCATATCTCTTCTTTCTTGGAAGAGAATATATGTAGCTCAGAATTGAATCGTGGAATCCTTGATGCCGTGATGATATTACCCAGTTGGGTAATTAATTTACAACTAAACAAACCAAGCTCTGAGAGCACCAAGGGCTCCACGATTCTTTTCTCCTTCTGGAATTTTCTGCCATTAACTGATAATGGTATGAATAGATTAAAAAAAGTAATTAGGCAATAGGAGCTTGTTGGAAAATAGGAAGTTGTTTTTCTATTAGATATTGTAACTCCACAACCCACAATTTATATGAATGGGAAATGCACTACTTCCATCTTCTCTTTAGCTTGCTTCCTTTACTTGTTTATGCAGCTTCCCCCTCCAAAATAAGAATGAATGAATGGACAAACAAACAATAGGAAAGCCTGCAATATCTTCTCAGACGTTCTATCATTTATGCTGAAGTTGTCAATTTAAAGCCCATATAATCTGGGCTGGCATTGGGTTTCCTCAGTCCTAAGCCAACACTTCACCATGGTAGCTCTGAATAAACTGTATGAGAATTGGAAACTGAGTAGAGAATTGGGTTTTCTGCAGTAATACAAATTCTTACATCCTGTTTGCCCTCTCCTCAGTCTCCATGCACTCAGCAGGTAGATCTGAAAGGAAAGAATAATTATATTCACTAGTATATGAGCACAGCTCTCTATGTGATCCTGGTAGATTCTGCTTTATCGGTACCCCAAATTACAGAGAAAGCTGTACTTCCATTTGCATGAATGCGAGTATAAATTTTGCTTTGGCCTCTTTGCTCAGTGCTATGAAATTGACAACAGTAAGAGGCAGAATGGTCTGATGTTAGCTTTGTGCAGTAATTTAGATAGGAAGCATGGCTACATGAACTAATTCTCCTTTATTGTAAAGCAAGTGTCTTCAACTGTGTGTGTTCTACATGGTACAGCCTTATTAATCTGTAATTTTAAAAGCAATGAGTTTGGTCACACAAAGTAAATCAAAGTTTTAAAACAATTTTTATGTTTTAGATTCTAAAAAAATGAAAATCACGATAACAATTCTGGCAAAAAATTGATGGTTCCCCCAACCAAATATTGATGGTTCCCCCAACCAAAAGTGTTTGTCCTATTTATACTCTTATCAGTGTGGAGAAAATTCAGTTTCTGAAAGCTGTGCTAATAGGTTTCAATCAGCAGTAAATGTTAAATCAGGTACAGGTGGCCCCTCGTTTCACAATAGCCTCAGAGATTGAACTTTTGCATTTACAGATGTAATGAAAAAAAACTTGGCAAGTTTAAGACTTGTGGACTTCAACTCCCAGAATTCCTGAGCTAACATGATTGGAGGAGGAATTCTGGGAGTTGAAGTCCACAAGTCTTAAAGCTGTCAAGTTAAAGCTGTAAGGTTTCAGTAACAGAATCTTGCAAGTCTGAAATTACATTTCTCCCACTGTCCTGTTTAGAGCCAAAGAAACTACAGAGGATCCCTTGTGAGATATTTGCTGCTGTGGTTAAACTGTCACTTATCCAACCATTGCCCTGGTTGTGGCCTCCCTGTCTCCTAAGGTCCTTCCTATATAGCTTTACAGCCAACAGGCACAAAGTTTGGTGCAATTAAGATGTTGGTTAAGGCATCAGGTTAGAAGCCAGGAGATTATGAATTCTAGTTCCACCTTAGGTATGGAAGTCAGGGATGGTTTTGGGTCAGTCTTTCTCTCTCATCCCTAGGAGGGAGGCAAAGGAAACCACTTCTGCAATCTTGCCAAGAAGACTGTAGGGACTTGTCCAGACAGTCACCAGGAGTTAAAACTGTCTCAAAGGCATTTAAACAAAAACCCTCCCCATGATGATACCTAATCTCAAGCTGTAATGTTTTCAGGGCAATACAACTGCAATGTATTCAGAACACCCAGTATGAATCCATTTACCACTAATAATGTTACAGGAATGTGGATCCAATTTTTTTAATGAGCAGAGGAGTCTGAATGTCAGGCAAAATATGAACTCTAACCAAGGGTTTGTATGCTGTTACACATAAAATTGTAAATATAACATATTAGGATTGTGTGTATACCAATAGAGCCAGCATAGTTGGCATAGCTAACAAGGATTCAATGAAACACATGAAATAAATGGCCTCTTACCAGTTATACATCAAAATTAATGTGTATTTCCTGATCTGTGGTGTCCTCACAAGGTCCAGCAGTGAAGGGCTAAGCTTTGTGTCATCTACATGTTCTTCTTCAAGATTAATATTCTATAGAGTAACAGTTGCAATGTAAATAAAAAAGAGAAGGTAAATCCATCACATTGTTTTTGTTCAGGATAAACGTTATGCAGAAAACAGAAATGGTATAAGAAATGTAAGGCATGAGATGAGAAAAAGTTAATTTAAAAAGCTAAAAGAAAACATTAAAGCTAATTTACACCAAGACCAAAGTCTTTTCTTTTTGAGGACTACATTCATTCCACTCAACCTCATCTTTCTTGGACTTCCTGTGTTTCCCTAACCATTCACTCTGCTCAGGGCAACCTGCATGTATCAAATGCATCACATGTAAAAGGGGTAGAGCTTTCACACCCACCATTTGGATGTTAATCACAGCCTCTGCAGGTGCACCTGACTCTTCATTATTATTTTTTTGCAAATTTAACCCTCTTTCATTCTTTTTCTATGACCAACTCTACTTCATTCAAACTTTTCACCTACTTTCCTTCTCAATCTACGTTCATTCATACTTTTACATCCTGGCTTGACCCTATAGCTTTTTTCTCTCGCTGTACATATCTTTTAAATATCTCGTCATGAGAGCTTGTTTTCACATTAATTAAAAAGTCTTATGGTCTGTTTGTAAGACTCTCAGTAGATGCAAACAGAAAGCCTTCTCCCTTTTACTAAAAAAACATGAGAAAATGATCCAGAACCTTGCTGCTTATTGCCTGAGTATAATTTTCCTAGTTGAAAGTAGAGTACAGGTTAGAATTTATGTATTGTAACCTCACCTTGCATCCAATAAATATCATCAATCAGAGCTTTGAGACCTTTGTTCTTTATTTTAACCATTTCCATTTTGGATAACCATAAAAGATGTCTGATGCCAACTCCTATTATAGTCAACTTACTTTTATCTTTTTGCTGACATACTTTTATGTCTGTTCCATCAGATGACCATCTCCCTTTCCTGTTGTCTGGTGTTGTTCTACAGTACACCTTTGCTTTTAATTTCATATGCTGCTCAGAGAAGTCAAGAAGTTGGAGAGCTTTAGAAATGTAAATAAGTGCATACATACTAAACTCCCACTTCTCTATAATACTGTATAGTGGAGAGAAACAAGCTCTTAAATGCAACTTTTTAGCATCATTCAACATTCATTCCTCAGAACCGACAACATGACATTCTACCAGTATTTGTATGTCTTAAAATACAGTATTTCCATGCATTTTCCATCTTTAGTTAATCTTTTTAACAAGATATGTAAATTCATCTACTTTCTCTGGGTTTTTTTTGTCAAGTCTGTATAAATTGTAAACATTCAATTCATCTTTATATTAGTGTTTCTCAAAGTATACTTCAAGGACCCTTCTCTGCGGTCCACAAAATCAGTATTACTTGCCAGACTATGTTGAAAAATAATTGATTGATTATATACCATCAAGACACTTTCAATTCCCAGCAATCACATAGATTTTTTTTCATGATAATCTTTCCCTAATATGTTATTTCAAGTTTCTTAATGAAAAAAAAATACAATATTAAAATCCCATCAAATCAATGTGAAAAGCGGGAGTGGCAGCAAATATGTCAATTTTAGTTTTTAATGTAGTAAACATTGATAATATAAACCATACAAAGAAATTTTTTTCAGGGTCATACCTACTGTATATACTCGAGTATAAGCCTAGTTTTTCAGCCCATTTTTTGTGCTGAAAAAATCCCCCTCGGCTTATACTCGAGTCAGATTCCCCTCTGAAAAAAAAATGGTGTGGAGTCGCGGCCTCCGGCGGCAGCGACTCCCAACAGCCCCAGCCGGGAAGGGAAAGGCAAAAAGCGCTTTGCCTTTCCCTTCCCGAGGCGGCGGGACAGGGGCCACGCCGGCGGTAGTGACTCCTGACTCAGGGGGCCTCCGAGGGAGGGGAAGAGAGTGACTCCTGCCTCCCGCTGTCATCATCATCTTCTTCTTTTGGGTTAGTGAATCAATTAAACCTTTCATGATAGTGAGATCGTTTCCCAAATTAATTATTTTTATTTTTGAAATTTACCAGTAGCTGCTGCATTTCCCACCCTCGGCTTATACTCGAGTCAATAAGTTTTCCCAGTTTTTTGTGTAAAATTAGGTGCCTCGGCTTATATTCGGGTCGACTTATACTCGAGTATATACGGTAATTTTTAAAAGGAGAAAGGTCCTAAGGAGAAAAGTTTAAGAAACATTGCTGTATACAATGATCTAAAAGTACATTAAATAATCAAATTACCTTGCCTTATGGCAAGTTCAATATTGAACCATTTGATAAGCATTCAATTAATTGCTTTTTTCGTCATATGCCATTCTTATCATATCTTCAGTGTTGAAATTCATATTCACAAAAATATTCTATAATTTAAGCCTTTTTAAATTATATGTCATCCATTAATAAATAATCATGCAATTAACTTCCCTTCCCACATTCATACACTTCTCAGTGAGAAAAAATCTAATCTGGACATCCTCTAATGGGGATGACATGAAGTGTCCCCTGATGACCGAAGTGTCCCCTGATGACATGAAATCATAGCACAATTCCAAACTGGGCTTATTATCATTTTTTATAGACTTTCAAGCAGAGTTTTGCTAAACCTCTTGCCAGAAATGATTGATAAACTAATTCCTCTGTACTTTTTTGCATTCGCATCTTGTGTCTTTCTCTTAACATTAAGGAAAAATAATGTTCTCCCAGTTGTTACCGCATACATGTTAAACAAGCAGCCCAAGCATTGTGTAGAATCCATTTTCATATGTCAACATTTCCAGAATTATACTATATACTCAGACAGCTAGTATAATTAATATTTCTCACATTTCTGGTGGAATCCTTTAACAGAGTAGAAACAAAAAGAGCAGAATGGAATCGTTCACTGATGTTCTCCTTTGGTTGTGTTTTTTTTTTGGGGGGGGGGGGGGGGAGAAGCCATTTTTATTATAAGAAAATTTTACTTATATTTAAAAAAGATTACAGAAGCAAAGAAAAAGTAGGAAAAGAAATGTAAAAGAATAACAGAAAAAAGAAAGATAAAGAAATCTAAATAAGTGGCTTCCAATCTTTGCAGCAATTAAAAGAGTATTTTTTTAAATTGCATTAAATTTATATGCCACCCTTCTCACTCTCCCGACTGACTCTGGGCAGCTTACAATAGAATTACCATCTCCAACCTCCAGCTTTGCTGACGTTATCATGATTATTGGATTATTTCTGCTTACCATGGTTAGGAAGAGGTACACTATGGCTATGAAATGTCTTATCATTCATGGTGGATGCATCTTTCTGGCATTCTGCTCTCTATCACTCAGTTAAAGCCAGGGCAAGAAATCATGTGATAAGTTTTGTTGTCCTGGGACCTTTTCATTTCAGAATGTATGGGCAGCTGCAGAAGAATAGAGAACGGCGTAGTGCAAATATGTGGTACACACCACCCACCGTCCATCGGTTTGCTCAAACCCACCACTGAAAGATTCAAATCCATCTAATGAAGCAGAGGTGGAAGAAGTTCAGAAGAAGATGAATGGACAGCAACAACATCCTATGATAATAGCCGACCAATGATAAGTAGGCACATGTAGTGTTTAAGACTCACCTCAAAAAAGGCAGGTACAACTTTTCCATTTTTTTTAGCAATTTCATCCACAATTTTCAGAGCTCGGGCATTCTGTCCTTGAGTGATCAGCCACCTGGGTGACTCAGGGAGGCACCTACAAAAGAACTAGAATCATTGGTCTGGTCCAGAAATGTTCATGGCAAAAAACAAGCCCATAGAGTGGGACCCAGATATCTATCTTCTCCTACATGCATTAATTAACTTAGGCTTGTTTCACTTTAAAGATATAACCAATTTATTGTGGTGTAATATGTCATGTGATACGAAAAGCATTATTCCTTAAAAGGAATACATCGATATCTATGGTTATCGGGGCAGGGTAGACAGCAATAACATAATTTGGAAGGAAATGGAGATGTAGAAGAAGCAAGCAGTGAAAATTACCTAATGTTCCTGGCTATTCACAAATCAGTTTTTGGATGCAACACATACATTATTTTATACTTGTAGGATGTTAAGCAGTCTGGGTTTCTGTTTACTTCCTGAGAAATAGATGACTATGACAATGAGCAAGACAGAGACAGCAAGGAGCCTGGGCGTGACTTAACTCAACTATTCTGTACTAAAGCTGCTTGGTGCTGTGAAAGTAAAACTGAAACTGAAACTCCTGCTTGTGTTTTGCATTTGGAACAGATTTCTTTTCAGGTGGGGAGAGGAAGTAGATCTCCTTAGCATCGGAGTGTGTTAATAATAATATACAAAATACTAATGCTCTGATGGTCATTTCAAAAAATCCTTTCTTAGTGAGCACCTAAAAGCTAAGAGGAACATATGTGCCGAATTTCAAGTTTGTAGCTTTATGGTTCTGGAGATTTTGTGATGATGCATGAGTGGTATTTCGCTTTTATATATATAGATAAGCAAATAAATATGAGCCTCCTAAAATTACAGAACCTCCCCTGTTAAATTACAGCTTCCACAATCCTTCACAATTGCCATAGTGGACATAGCTACTGGATGTTGGAATCTAATATCATTTGGAGATTCTCCGTCCCTATCCTAATTGCACTAGACCCAGTCTTTCCTTGTTCCATAATAGAATCTTTCCCTTGGATATTATAGGCAAAAGTCTGACTCTGAGCAAGAAGTTCTTACCAGTAGTAGAGTAAGAGAAGGAACATTGGAAGAGTAACAGCAAGTTGAAGCCACCGCCAATTGGGAATTACATAAGCCAAAGCATTGAGGATGAGGAGGCCAAAGGCATAGGCTAGTTGATAGAGAATGGCCACAGTCCTCCTGTAGCTTGGGCCAACAATTTCTGTGACTGGAAAATAAAACGAGGACTTTCCATATTAATTCTTAATTGAGAAATAGCTTATTCATAGGCTTTGATTAGGAAGAATGCTTGTAAGGAAAAGAAACAGTGGAGAACACATTTCAAACAATTAAAAACTAATAAGGGACATCCATTTTGAAACTGCATGGAAATGATACATACGCTACCGATATCTACGATCTCTTTGGCCTCTCAGTGGCTCTTAATAATATTAACTATGACAATCCTCCTGAATCCTCTAGGTCCAACATTACAGTATAGTGCTATAATGATTGATTGAATTTGTTGCCACCCATCTCACCACAATTTGTAAGGGATGTCTCAGAAAATAATGCTGTAGCTTCTATCTTATCCCTTGGTTTTTATTCATGAGGTGCTTCTAGATTCAATTTAATTCAAATGTTAAGAAACATTTAGATTAAATTAGTGAATGAAATCATCCAGAGATCTGGGCAGAAAAACTCAGAAAGCAGCCTAAAACACATGTTCAACTTACAAATGAACCAACTCAGTTCATCCACATTGTTGCAACAAGAGGTATTTATACCCTCTTTTAGCCTTTGTTCATCTGTAGCTAATTACAATATGAATATAACCCACCAACATCTTTCTTGTTCCATGTCCTCATGAAGCTGCCTTCCTTTGATCCCTGGTTGTACTGAAGGTAGCTTTAACTCATACTTGGCTATTTCGGTTTTTGAACTGCTGTTTTCTCCTTTTTTTTCTCTAATATTTTTAATGTGGATATATTCTGGCATGCTTTACCAAAACTATTCTGTACCTTATGATTCTTGGGAAGGAGGACTGGCCACTTCAGGCTCTTATCGGCACACACCCTCATTTATGATTCCTGGGAACTGTTCTCTAGAAAAAAATCTTGTTTGGACAGTAGGAAACATTGGGTTTTTTTAAAAAAAAAACAACTGCCAAGTCTTTCTATGCCTGCCAATTTTCCAAGACAATTTGTGTCTTGAAGAATTGCATCAACCCAAACAACAGCTGTCCAGAGAGGAAGAGGGAAAAGAGATGGCTCTCCCTGTACCATTCCATCACACAACCTTCCCCATTCTTTCAATTCATTGCTCTGGAACCCAGGTTTAATGCTTTTCCAGACACTCAGATGTCAACTGGTAATTAGGCTCCTTTTGCATATGGATTTATGCACTTATGTATTTCTATTCATCTCTTTTTGAACCCTGAATTAGCTCTTTTTGAAGACAAAACGATTACCAAAAACACCTCTCTTTTTATCCCACCCCCTCATGTTTTATTAAGAAGAATGATTGATGTATGTTTCTGTCATGCCCTTGTTAGAGTCAGACTCTGAGGGAGAGGAGGAACAGCAGACAGGGAGTGGAAGTGTGGCTCTGGAGGTTGTGGAGGAGGCTGGGGAGGGGCAGAGGCTGGCTGGGCAGTCAGAGGAAGAACCAGGCCTATCGCCTCTTCATCCTAAGACACGCAGGGAGGGACGGAGAAGGCAACAACTTGGCTTACGAGAGAGGAAGCGGCCATGATCCCCTCCATTGGTTGCAGCTGGGGAGAATAGTATATAAGAGAGACGGTTAAAACACATTGTTGCCAGAAGTAAAGTGTATGTTATTTTGGGCTGAAGTTATCTTAGTTGGCGTCCTTCCAACAGACTGTGCCTTGTTATCTCCTTGAAGTTGGTAATTACTTATCCTGGTCCCTTGTGGAAATTCTTTCATTGTAGTTTGTTTTAGTTTTTTATTTCACCTTTATCTGCTCATTAAGTTTGGATTGTATTGCTTTCTTTTGAAGACTATTTTTGAATACATTTTATCTCCAACTATTATTGAACAGTGGGGCCAAGTTGGAGGCATTAAAGGACATTTATTTACATTTTGGATTTTGTTACATTTGTGTTACACTCCGGGTCATCACAGTTCCTCCCCCAGATGATAATGTTTGGTAGGAGAGGAAAGGAGGGAAACAAGCCTGGGGAAATCTATCATTCCTTGTCCCTAATGTGTCTTGTAGACATTTAATAGGAACAGCACCATTTTTGGGCATTGGGACTGTGGCAGGAACAGCAGCTTTCATGCTGGTAGAGCACCCTGTTGGCTCAAGACATGGTTAGACCTTTAATCTAGTCATGAGAAGGAAGCCTGTAACTTTAGTATATTAATATACATTGTAGCAAAAGGATCACAAATTAATAAGGCTGCAAAAGGTTGGCAGTTTAAGACCTAAGTACCACATGATGCAGTGAGCTCCCGTTTTTGCTCTGGCTCCTGCTAACTTAGCAGTTTGAAAGCATGCAAATGCAAATAGATAAATAGGTACCACTTTGGTGGGAAGATAACAGAATTCCATGCTCCTCGGCATATAGTCATGCTGGCCACATAACCATGGAAGTGTCTTCAGATAATGCTGGCTCCCTCAACTAAGAAACAGAGATGAGCACTGCCCCCTAGAGTCAGAAATAATTGGGCAGGGGAAACCTTTAGCTTTTTTTTAATCTAATGTAAAATTATTTCTTAAAGCTGAAGATACATCTTTTTCCTGGGATTATTAAATATATTCAAAAGTTTAGTTTCTGAGTTTCAAGAATAGGTTTGATTTATTAGAGTTGGACTTGACTAGTACTAATTTAGGAAACAGTATTAAAGATTAAATTTCTTTTTAATCTTTAAAAGAGTTAAATGGGTTCCACTACTCTGTCCTCTCGCAGAATACCAATCTGAAGGCAAGTGTCATACTTACGCAAACTGTAACCTGCCATCCAGCTGCCCTTGCTGAACAGGCCTTGGATGAAACGAAATATCACAGACCATAAGTAGTTTGGTGAGAAGGCAACGAGTACTCCAGAGATTGCAGTTACCAGGACAGAAATTAAAAGGCTTACTTTCCGTCCAAATCTGCATTAAGAGAAGCAACAGATACACAAGATCAGAAAGATACAAGGAAAATCATATGTTGAAGTTCTATTTAAGGTGCCCTTGTGGTACAGGTTGTCCTCGACTTACGACCAAAATTGACCCCCAAATGTATGTTGCTGAGTGAGAAATTTGTTAAGTGAGTTTTGCCCCATTTTATGACTTTTATTGCCACAATTGTTAAGTGAATCGCTAGAGTTGTTAAGTTAGTATCAGGGTTGTTAAGAGAATTTAGAATTAGAATTCTTTTATTGGCCAAGTGTGATTGGACACACAAGGAATTTGTCTTGGTGCAAATGCTCTCAGTATACATAAAGGAAAGATACATTGGTCAAGAGTCAAGAATCATAAGGTACTTGGCTTCCCCATTGACTTTGCTTGCCAGAAGGTTGCAAAAAGTGAACAGATGACCCTGGGACACTCCAACTGTCATAAATATGAACCAATTGTCAAGCATCCTAATGTAAATCATGGGGATGCTGCAATGGTCATAAAAGTGTGAAAAATGGCCATATGTCACTTTTTCAGCTCTGTTGTAACTTTGAATGGTCACTAAACAAACTGTTGTAAGTCGAGGACTACTTGTTCTGCCCTGACTAGGAGATGGATTTGTAAGGTACCTTCCAACTGTCTCATTCTATCAAATTTGCTTAGCTCTTTCTAGGTTCAACGCTACTGCCTGAATTCACACAACATCTAAACCTTAAACCCAGATTCAAATTTTCTCTGCTCGTATGAAATACTCTGCCCAAATAAATTAGGCACATGTGGCTTCAGATGATTTATAATTCATACAACCTGCTAACATTATGACTGGCCTCCTACAACACACTGAATCCTATACCTCCCAGCCCCGTGTTAGATTAATGTAGAGTGCTGAACTAAAGTTTTGAGTTACTAATGATACAGGATAATAAAAACAAGGACAAATAGCTTCTATCCCAGGGCAGTAACTCTATTGAATTCTACTGTATAGTGCAATATTAATGCAATATCAGGAGTTTTCAATTCAATGTATAGAATGTGAAGGATGTGTGTTTGTGTTTATTTTCATAGTCATAATGTACACTGAAGATGGTATTTAATTTTGTTGTATGAGGTGCAATGACAATAAACTAAACTAAACTAAACTACTAAGAATTTTCTTGAACACTGTGAATAAAAATAGATTGTAATGAATCCATCCCTGCCTTGGCTGACAAAACCACTAGCACAGCAGCCTTTCCTAAAGGAATAAATGTTTTTCTTCAGCAATACTATGCATAATGGCGTTTGATTAACAGTTGTGAATCTGAACACAAGGTGGCAATGTTCACAGCCATATAAAGCATTGTAAGTCCAATTTTCTATTCTTCTCTGATGAGACATTTATATCTGCACTCTAATTTTATTTATTCACCAGATTTAAGAATAGAAAAACTTTACAAAGCCTGGAATGGAAGGCAAAATTATTTAAATAATCCTGATACCCATCAATCAAAAGGACATAGTATATACACATATGTGTATGTGCATGAATGTATGTTTGTTCCTCAAGCAACATGTAATTTTTTTTTAAGCTGTTAAGCAATGGTTTTAAAGTATGGATTAATAATTGAAGTTCCAGCAGTATTTGGCAGAAGGAGAGAAAGGTCTTGCCTTAACCCCAAATCAAAATACACTGCTCAAAAAAATAAAGGGAACATTTAAACAACACAATGTAACTCCAAGTCAATCACACTTCTGTGAAATCAAACTGTCCACTTAGGTAGCAACACTGATTGACAATCAATTTCACATGCAAATGGAATAGACAACAGGTGGAAAGCATAGGCAGTTAGCAAGACATCCCCAATAAAGGAGTGGTTCTGCAGGTGGTGACCACAGACCGCTTCTCAGTTCCTATGCTTTCTGGCTGATGGTTTGGTCACTTTTGAATGCTGGCAGTGCTTTCACTCTAGTGGTAGCATGAGACGGAGTCTACAACCCACACAAGTGGCTCAGGTAGTGCAGCTCATCCAGGATGGCACATCAATGCGAGCTGTGGCAAGAAGGTTTGCTGTGTCTGTCAGCGTAGTGTCCAGAGCATGGATGTGCTACCAGGAGACAGGCCAGTACATCAGGAGACGTGGAGGAGGCTGTAGGAGGACAACAACCCAGCATCAGGACCGCTACCTCTGCCTTTGTGCAAGGAGGAGCACTGCCAGAGCCCTGCAAAATGACCCTGCAAAATGACCTCCAGCGGGCCACAAATGTGCACGTGGCTGCTCAAGCGGTCAGAAACAGATTCCATGAGGGTGGTATGAGGGCCCGACGTCCACAGGTGGGGGTTGTGCTTACAGCCCAACACCGTGCAGGATGTTTGGCATTTGCCAGAGAACACCAAGATTGGCAAATTCACCACTGGCGCCCTGTGCTCTTCACAGATGAAAGCAGGTTCAAAGTAAAACAGCCCTCCATGTGCTCGCCAGAGGTAGGCTGACTGCCATTAGGTAGCGAGATGAGATCCTCAGACCCCTTGTGAGACCATATGCTGGTGCGGTTGGCCCTGGGTTCCTCCTAATGCAAGACAATGCTAGACCTCATGTGGCTGGAGTGTGTCAGCAGTTCCTGCAAGATGAAGGCATTGATGCTATAGACTGGCCTGCCTGTTCCCCAGACCTGAATCCAATTGAGCACATCTGGGACACATGGCTCGCTCCATCCACCAACGCCACATTGCCCCACAGACTGTCCAGGAGTTGGAGGATGCTTTAGTCCAGGTGTGGGAGGAGATCCCTCAGGAGACCATCCACCACCTCATAATGAGCATGCCCAGGCATTGTAGGGAGGTCATACAGGCACATGGAGGCCACACACACTACTGAGCCTCATTCTGAATTGTTTTAAGGACATTACATCAAAGTTGGATCAGCCTGCAGTGTTTTTTTCCACTTTAATTTTGAATGTAACTCCAAATCCAGACCTCCATGGGTTGCTAAATTTGATTTCCATTGATAATTTTTGTGTGATTTTGTTGTCAGCACATTCAACTATGTAATGAACAAAGTATTTCATAAGAATATTTCATTCATTCAGATCTAGAATGTCTTATTTTTGTGTTCCCTTTATATTTTTGAGCCGTGTATATGTTGAAACTGCATTCAGTTTTGGTCACCACGATGTAAAAAAGATGTTGGGACTCTAGAAAGAGTGCAGAGAAGAGCAACAAAGATGATTAGGGACTGGAGGCTTAAACATATAAAGAACAATTGCAGGAACTGGGTATGTCTAGTCTGATGAAAAGAAGGACTAGGGGTGACATGGTAGCAGTGTTCCAATAACACAGGGGCTGCCACAAAGAAGAGGGAGTCAAGCTATTCTCCAAAGCAACTGAGGGCAGGACAAGAAGCAATGGATGGAAACTAATGAAGGAGAGAAGGAACCTAGAACTAAGGAGAAATTTCCTGACAGTTGGAACAATTAATCAGTGGAACAAATTGCCTCCAGAAGTTGTGAATACTCCAACACTGGAGGTTTTAAAGAAGAGATTGGACAACGATTTGTCTGAAATAGTATAGGGTTTCCTGCCTAGGCAGGGGGTTGGACTAGAAAACCTCCAAGGTCCCTTTCCAACTCTGTTATTCTATTCTATTCTGCAATGTTAACTGCATTTTGAAGTTTAATAAAGTAATGACATAGACTTTTAAGTGTGGGAACAGAAGTAATTTATCCTTAAATCATTACCCACAAATGGTTAAAATCTGGGAGGTAATTAGGATCTTTTTAGATTTGTAAAATGGGAAAAATTTGTCCCCTTAATTGCAATTCACAATTCCCATCTTATTTTGGGGGAGGGGGTACCAAAAAATGAAAAATCATGACATTGAAATTCTACTATGTTGTTGCTAGATTGGTATTCATAAAGGCGATGAGACATCTATTCCTTATCTTACAAAACGTTTGCCACAGATAGGAATACAGGAAGAACTACGTTAAGCACTTTCTATTATGCTTCTTTGTCACTACAAATACAAATAGTATTTTCTTCTTGTTTCCAAAAAAGCAACTGGACTTGCTTGTTTTGTTCTTTAGAAATGTTTCACTTCTCATCCAAGAAGCTTGTTCAATTCTGACTGACCGGCAGGGAATGGAAGGATTTATCTTCTTTGCAGTCATCTGGTTGTTAGTTCTTTGAGATACATTGAGGCCACCTGAGGGTTTTTCTGTGTCCTCAGGGTCACCTGAATCAGAGTGCAAATGGGTATGGAACTTTCTTGGGACTGTTGAAAAGGCTCCATTGTAAATGGAGATAGGTGCAGAGGTGGTATTTAGCAGTTCTGGAGAACCGGTAGTGGAAATTTTGAGTAGTTTGGAGAACTGGCAAATACCACCTCTGACTAACCCCACCCCATCTATTCTCTGCCTCCCAAGTCCCAGCTGATCAGCTGGGTCTTCTTTTGTTGCCCTACACAGGAGAACGGAGCTGGAAAGCAGGTTAGTGGGGTGGGGAGGGAATGGAAATTTTGCTGTATCCTTCCTCTGCCATGCCCACCAAGCCACGCCTACAGAACCAGTAGTAAAAAAAATTGAATCCACCACATAGGTGGTGTTGTATCCCTCTCCTTCTTGGATGAGAAATGAAACATTTTCAAAGGGAAAAAAAAGTCCAGTTGCCTTTGGTGTGGGGGGAAGCACCTCTGGGACAACCATGACTTGGATGATTGAGAATCCCCATAGATACTTTCTCCTTGCTTCTTACTTTATTTGACTTTGCAAAAAAAAAATGCTTATCCTGAAAGCATGCTGGCATGAATGTACATTTCATTAGACATTTATTTTAAAAAAGTTGGATGAAAATTTTGACTATTAGGATAACAGTTTGAAGAAGAGAGGAATTCTATAAAGCTTTTAAAAAGAAGACTACTAGGATGGTGCAGCTTTGGCAGGAAATGTGAGAGGAGGCACTGGGAACATTTTTAGCTTCTTAGGGCTAGGAAGAGTGGAATCCCTGTTGCTTTCAGCTAAGCTAACAAATCCCATTGAGAATCAAACAACATCATATTCAAGAGCAAAGCACCATGGAAAGAAAAATAAATAAAGCTTTGTTTTATTTATCCTCTCTTGTCCTCATCCAGAGGAAAGCTTCTTTTTTTAACCACTGGTCTTTTTAACAAGCTTTAAAGAAATTTAAAGAAACTTAACAAGGAAGAGGTCACACAGCAATAGTACCTTCAGGTATATAAAGCAGTAGTACAAGGTCTTTGCAAGCCAAAATCTGAGTGCCAAATTATAATCTCTGTTTATTCTCTCCATCAAAACCTCATTTTAGAATATTGGGGTGGGTTTTTTTGCAGATAATTCCCTGTAAGGTTATTTTCCTAAGTTGTGACTGTCCAGGCCAATTCAGAATAGTTAGCAAATATGTAAGACATCAACTCTACATGAAGATGTGTTCTAAATTTCATAATGGTCTGTTCCTCTGTATTACACTTCACCTTAGTGTATGTTTGTCCATTATTCTGTTTGTTTTCAATACTTCTGAGATAGATATTATAAGTAGTCTTGAACTTACCATCACAACTGGGATTTGAACTTCTGTTTTCAAAGTGAGAAAAGTAATTTAAGTTAGTTGTGCTCAATCTTTTTCGCCATTGCCATTTAAGTGAATCACTGCAGTTCACTGTAAGTGAATCGTATGACTTTACATGAATTCAGCTTCCCCACTTAGCTTTGTTTGTCAGAATCCAGCTGGAAAGGTCACAAATGGGGATCATGTAAACACATGGCAAGTTGCCAGGCAATTGCCAATTTTGATCTCCTGACCACAGGGAGGTTGAAACAGTCATAAGTGCAGGAACTGGTCACAAGTCACTTTTTTCAGCACCATCGTAAATTCAAACAATAACTAAATGAGTGGTTGTTAAGTCAAAGGCTTCCTGCAATTGGAAGTCTCAAATAATTATGGGTAGCAAACTATAATAATATATTAGCACAGCATTCTAGCTTATATTTTATTTGATGTTGCAGTATTAAAAATAAAGAGACCTAGTAAAAACATATATTTTGTACTCAGTTAAGCTTTGCTCCATAAACTCACTTAGATTTTCAAATGTTCAGTTCTTCAGTTTAGTTAAAAGTATAAAGTATCCAGAAATGCCCATATACACCACCTATATGGAGAATATAAGTGTATGTATTAGCTTATACAAATACCAACCAGAGATGAAGTTTCAGATTGAATGGCCAGGGTCTAGTTTTCTGGCATTCTGATGTTATTATATTATACAAGTTTGTATATGCTTATGAAGACATGTTCTCAAATAATGGCAAAAAGCTAGCACAAGTAGAACCTATTTCCCTTGTCAAATGTAATTACCTTGGTCTGTGGTACGTTACTTTTCAAAAGCATCTGCCTTGTTTCATATATTAACATTCAGGTCTGGACTGACAGTACACAATATGCCTGAATTCATATCGTCTATCAATCCACTTCATCAGCATCACAAACATCCCTTATGCTTTTATTCATAAAGACATTAAACAGAGAAGGATACTTACCTAACCTCCTGTGCAGAGGTGGTGTTCAATTTTTTTTACTAACAGTTCTGTGGGCGTGGCTTGGTGGACGTGGCAGGGGAAGGAGACTGTAAAATCTCCAGTCAGAGGTGGTATTTGCTGGTTCTCCGAACTACTCAAAATTTCTGCTACTGGTTCTCCAGAACTGGTCAGAACCTGCTGAATACCACTTCTGCTCCTGTGCAGAGGTGGTATTCAGCAGGTTCTGACCAGTTCTGAAGAACTGGTAGCGGAAATTTTGAGTAGTTTGGAGAACGGGCAAATACCACCTCTAACTGGCCCCACCCCCTTCTATTCTCTGCTTCCTGCATCCCAGCTGATTGGCTGATTGTTGCCCTGCACAGGAGAACGGAGCTGGAAAGCAGGTTAGTGGGGTGGGGAGGGAATAGGATTTTGCAGTAACCTTCCCTGCCACACCCACAAAGCATGCCCACACAGCCACACCATGCCCACACAGCCACGCCCACAGAACCGGTAGTAAAAAAAATTAAATCCCACCACTGCTCCTGTGCAATTCATGTATTGTCACACATGCTTTATTTCAATCATATACTGCCTGTAGTTGCATTGATCAATCAAACTTCAATTCCATACTCTCACAAAAATCCCATACAGGTAGGCCTCGACTGACAACAGTTCACTTAGTGACAGTTTAAAGTTACAACAGTACTGAAAAAAGTGGCTTATGACCATTTTTCTTACAATCCCTGCAGCATCCCTGTGGTCACATCATCAAAACTCAGATGTTTGGCAACTGAGTCATATTTTTATGTCGGTGGAGGTGCCTTGGGGTCATGCGATCATCTTCTGCGGCCTTCTGACGAGCAAAGTCAACAGGAAATCCAGATTCACTTAACAATCATGTTACTAAGTTAACAACTGCAGTGATTGACTTAACAACGGTGGCAAGAACGGTCGTAAAATGGGGCAATACTCAGTTAACAAATGTTTTACTTAGCAAGAGAAATTTTGGGCCTAATTGTCATCATAAGTCAAGGCCTACCCGTATTTGAGTGAAGCTTATTCATTTTACCATCTGCTTTCTCTAAATATTCTCTAAATATTTGAAGACTAATCTCCGTATTTGATTGATGCCAATCCGATCCGTTGCGTGTGATGTGACGTATTTGTATTTGACATGACGATTCATCAAGGCTCGGTACATTGCGGCGAGATGCGATTATGAGACGCATGCGCTCTGCACAGGAGAATTGTTTTGAGAGAGTGCTCCGTGTTTACTTCTTACCGAAACACGACAAGGCAGTGTATAATACAGTGTATTCTGTATTTTTGTTGTAATGAATGAAATGTTTCTTTCATTTAAGACATTTTTTCCTTCAATTTATTTGCGTCTTCCTTCTCATTGTAAAACAGTTGGTCACCTTACTTTCAGTGTTGACTCACTTCAGTTGCATCCCAAATAAATTATTCACTTATTTTTAAATCCATCCACTCTAATGGAGGCAGTTTAGTTTTCTTCACCCACTTTCAGAACAGGTTTTCATTTCACCAATCCTTACTTTCCATTATTCATATTTAGTTTTAGCAAAATTGAATGATGCACCCACCTGTCCGCTAGGTAGCCAGCGAATATAGATCCAACCAGAAACCCAGCATTCACAGCTGACTGAAACATATCTAGTTTCCAGGAATCTCCACAAACCAAGTTAAACTAAGGAGAAAAGAAACAGAAGTAAAATTAGTTCTAATTATTAAGACAGTTAAAAGCCATTCACAGAGAAATGTACAAGGAAAAGGAAACAGATAAAAATAATAATAATAAATAAACCAGACTTGTCCCCAGAATCCTCCATGCCAACTGTTTTGCTTCAAATTTAGGAGAACAACTTCTTCAAAATGTTGTTATTTTGGGTTGTATTCCACTAAATTATTGTTGAATAGGTCAGGCCTTTAGGTTTCTGCGGGGATTCAAGCAATTAGGGAAGACAAAGGAAGATACTGTTTGGCAAAATGTATGCATAGATATATGCATGCATGCATGCATGCATTAATTAATTTGTTTGTTTCTTATCTCATTTGTGTTCTGCCAGAAACATATGATTCCACATAGTATGACTTCTCCTCAAGAGCTGTGTGGTGATACAGTGGTTATAATGCCATACTGCAGGTTAACTCTTCCCACAACCAGGAGTTTGATCCTGACCAGTTCAAGATTGACTCTGCCTTCTATCCTTCCTAGGTCAATAAAATGAGGACCAAGATTATTGGGGGCAATATGCTGACTCTGTAAACCACGTAGAGAGGGCTGTAAAGCACTGTGAAGTGGTATATAAGTCAAAGTGCTATGCTATAGCTATTGGGAAATTTCACTCTACAAAGGAAACCAAAAATGCTGATGTAAGCTTTGGGAAGGCCTCACATGGCCAGCAGCTGCCTTGTGAAAGGCCGGACCAGGCATGCCTTGCCAACTGGGTGAAGAAGATGGCAAAGGTCAGTTGGGGGAAGCAGGAATGGCAACACAAGGGCACTCAAAAGGGCAAAGACAGAGGGGAGGTGGACATTTGAGAGGAATTGAAGTGGAAGTAAGTGCATCAGGACAGAAGCAGCGAATCACCTAATGATTTATTTTATTTATTTTGTCAAGCATGCATTTGATAATATATACTGTATATAAGTATAAAAATGATTATTAATACATGAAATAGATACAAATAAAATGGAACATTAAGACAGGGATGGTAGGCACATTAATGTGCTTATGCACACCCCTTACGGACCTCTTACGAATAGGGTGAGGTCAATAGTAGACAGTCTAAGGTTAAAGTTTTTGGGGTTAGTGGAAGAAACCACAGAATCAGGTAGAGTATTCCAAACATTGACTACTCTGTTGCTGAAGTCGTATTTCCTGCAATTGAGTTTTGATGGCATGGTTCTGGTCTAACAACAACTGTGACAGAGACAACCAGAAGTGCTATCACCACGTGGTGCCATCACCTGAGGTTTCGCTTAATACCTGTTTTGTTTAGTGGTTATTATAGTTGAATGACTAAAATCAATCGGGTGGTTGTTTAAAAATTTATACAATGGCACCACTTCTGGGTGAATTGAAAATGGAGCTTAAAAAGTACAAAGAAGATGCACAAGAAGGGAAGGGTTATTTTGGCTTCGTTTTTCAATTCTTAGAAATGGAGATTTGGAACTATGAGAAACAACAAGAAACAACTGCAAAACAAGAAGACTGGGACAAAGAAGAAGCCATCTTTAATGAACAAGCAATTTTATGTGGGGAAGAAAAAGGAAAGGGGGGAAAGAGAATGGAGAATTTAAGACTTAAAAAAACAACCAAAGAAAAGAAAAATAATTCAAAAAATAAGTATGATACTGGAAAGCAACAGAAGAGTGAAATAGAGGTAGAGAGACAAGGGGGTAAAAAGGGGAGAGAGAAGAAGAGAGGGAAGAAGGAAAGGAAAAGAAGTTAAAAAGGACCGGAGCAAGATATAGAGAAACAGGGCCTATTTAGAGATAATGGGTGAAAATTTAACTGAAAAAGGGATTCTGTAAAGGTACATAAGACTGTATTGTTATATTAGTAATAGAAATAACTTTAGAAAATTGGAAACAACGTATGATTAAAATGTGGGATAAAATAGTTAGTGTAATTTAGTAAAATGTTTGTGAATAAAATAAGTGAAATAAAATAAATGAGAAAATTGAATTAGGAAGGAAGGGGAACATTTTAATTAGTTAATGTTTTATAAAATATAAGTGAAGAGGGGGGTGAATTAACTATGGAAAGCTTATAATTGTTCCCATAGAAGTATGATATTTAATTGAAAAGTAATGTTAAAGATGTTAAGACTTTAATGAATATTAATATTAATGATAGAATTGAATTGGAATGGAATGTTGTTTTAATTATGTACATTTATAATTTTTTCTTTTTTTAAGAATACAGTGTGTATTTTAAGAATGTACCAAGCAGAATCCGAATGGAAGTTATGTATTATATTGAATGTTACAACTTTAGGGAAAAGATATAAAGGCGTCATACTCCAATCAGTAACTACAGGAGAAATTTTGTTTAATGAGAAAAGATAATAGATAATTGAAACAGGACAGACAAAAAATATAAATACAATGATTTGAATTGAGATGAGATAATTAAAATAAAATTAAAAGAGGGGAGAAGCTATGCAGAAAATGTAAAATAGTAATAAGATATGGAATAGAATATAAAAATGAGCATGAACCTAAATTTGTGTCTGTACGAAGAAATGTAACCCGGGATTATGCTGCTTTCAAAAAAGATGTTTTATTTGTATTTTTTTTCTCTTTGTGAAAACTCAAATAAAATTTACCAAAAAAAATGTGTGAAGGGTGAAGGATGTGTGTTTGTGTTTATTTTCATGGTCATGATGTGCACTGAAGATGGAGTTTGAATTTGTTGTACGAGGTGCAATGACAATAAAGTAAACTAAACTAAACTAAATAATGTTTACAAATTCTAACCCCTGAGCATGCATATTCTAGAATTCTCTGTAGTAGCCATGGGAGAAATGCACTTATCTTCTTGTTGAATAAATCCAAGTGGAAAAACATGACACGGCATATATTTTTTTGAAACAAAATCTTATATTAGATTTGAAACAATGGCAAGACCTTACCTCAGTCACAATGGACATGACTGGAGCATCATAAAGCCAGCCATCTTGACAAGTGGTCACAACGAGGCTCCTGTTCTCCAGACTGGTGAAGTCTTCCAGGGGATTTGTACAGCTCAGGCCACTTTCATTCCAGCTGACGTTGTATCTCATGCATTGAGGGGTGAAAGTATCCTCTTTGGATGTCCCTTTTGGAACAGTGTGATTCAGTTCATCTTCAAGAGTCCAGCCACACCGGTTGCTTAATTCAGTAACTCCCGGAGTCCAACAACGGTGCTCTGGTATAAGCCCTAGGAAAACAATTCCTACGTAGACTGGGGCAAAGACAACTGAGAGAAAGCAAATGAGAAAAAACACCCTTTTCTGGAAGAAGTCGAATTCCCCAATGTGTTCCAAAAGATCATCAAAGTCAGGCATTTTGGATGAAGGCTGAGTCAATTGCAATCCAGTATTTAATTGTACTGAGAAGAGAGGTGCTTATACAACAAGGCATTTAGCCCCAAGATAAAGAGTTAATTTATGAATGATTAAGCCATCCATTGCCATTTTTATAGATGTTTCACCAGAGGGAAGATCATCTCAGTAAGCTTCAAATATCTTTAGTGGCTTGTTTGACTTATTTAGCAGACGACCAGGTTTGGTAATAAACTTCTATGAAGTATTCCAGAAATCATGATTTCTCTGGCTTGTTGTGGATGACAAATCAATAGGAACCAAATGAACAATCTGAATGTATTCATCAAAGCAAGTATCAGTGTGAACACCAGTAGTACAATCAACAAACCTCTGGTGGAGAGTAAAGTCTCTTTCCCCTGCTTCCCTAGAATATTTGTCCAGCGCTGGACGCTCTTGAATAATCACGTACTCTGCATTCCATTACATAGTACATTTCTTCAAATGCTGCCCCTAATTTACCCTGTAATAAATATTCTAGGCATAACCCATCATGCAATAGGCTGGCAATCTGGAGAGAGGTACAATGATTCTGTTAAAATTTGACTTTCAGAGCTATTCAACAGAGCTATTCAATGGCTACTTGTTAATACTCTAGATTAGTACAATTTTAAAGTAATACTACTTCCATTATTTTTAAAAAGCTCAAACACCATATATACAAATCACGTACATACAATATGAACACTGTGTGCCTTTGTATTGTATCTGTGTATATATACAATGCACATATTTCTTAATAAGGAGGTATGTTCAGGATCCTAACTGATTCAGGGATTTTCTAACTTCTGAACTATTTAGGTCAACAAAGGCATGATGGATCTTCATTGCTTAATTTCCAACATTTTTACTTAGCCTCTGTTAATACAATTTGAATTTCTACAATCAGAATCTTACTACCAAAGCAGACTATATTAATAGTTTTTCCTAAAATATATCTTCATTTTTCATTTCATTTATTCATACATATATTTCAGAAAATGTTTTCCCACTTAATAGTGGCTTAATATAATTCCAAACATAGTAATTAAACAGAACTATTTAAATTATTTTAAAAATGAGTATATATCTTATTGGTTTTTCCTTATCCTATTTTCATTTAAGCCCAGTTGTGGCCATGAATAATTGATACTGCAACTTTTTCAGCCCTTTAAAACATTTTTCAAATCTAGCAGTCAGTTTTGTGCTATTTTTCATGTAGACAATATTCAGATTGGCATATTTGTTCGTTTGACACTAATTACACAAAAGGCACCATTTGTTTGTTTATTGCATTTGCATCCTGTCATATTTGCCAAGATCCCAATCATTTACAACTAAAATCCAGTGAAGCAAAATGTAAGTAAAGCAAAAGTAAAAATAAATAAATAAATAAATAAATCGTGAACTGTACAGTGCCTTCATCAGATGGCATTTGACCAAACTGTATCAGCTCATTCAGAGAGTTCAGGGGAATTGAACGGGTAGCTAAGACCCCTGGAAAAGCAGGCGGCTCCCATTTATACCGTTTAAAATGTTCTCCCAAATTCTGAAAAACAGTCCCGATTCATGCTTTTGAAATTCACTGGCAAAATTGATACATTTTGATAATGTGATTTGGGGAATTAAAAAAAAAAAAGATTGGGGGATGTTTTAGGTGCAGAAATGGGAACGATTGCTTCCTGAGGCCACCTGACCTCATTTTATTTTTTATTTTTTGGAAACAAAATCAGATATTTTGCCATAATTTTCACATCTCAGGGTATTGGTGGGGCTACACATAGTCAATAGGTTGTCCACCATTCATTTAACGTATTCATTTTCACTTTATTCCAAGTGATATCTTATTTTTAAAAATTGATTGTTTACCACCTAAGTTTTTTTTTATCATGAATGGTTGATAGGAATGTGAATAGAATGTCACTGCAATCCTGTCTCCCCATAGTTGCCTTGTCTTTAAGACAAAGATACTCAGTCCTTTTAACCAATCCTCATAGGATTTTGTTTCCAATTACTTCACCCCTTTCATCATTCTTTTTTAGGCTGCTACTTTGCTTTTTCACTTTATGAAGTAAGAAAAGAACAAAACCTCTTGTTCTTTTTTCCCTCCAATTAAAGCTGGTAAGCGTATTTTTTCAGCTTTTGTTCTCAAAAGCAAAACTCCAAGTAAAAATGCAGCAGTTACTAAGATATGATCATTTGCTATCCATGTTGAAATAAAGTCTTATTAGATTAAATTGCAATATTGTACATATAAACCTCAAATTGATCACATGTAATATGTTTATTGAATGCTGTGTAAAACATATAAATGTACATTAAAATGTACGGTATGTAAATATACACATCTGTGAGAAGCAGTTTTATGTATATAATGTTGTTGTAATTGTATTGTTTCTTTTCCCTTTCATCATTCTTTTTCTCTTTATTATTTAGTCACAATCACAATTTAACTTGCAAGTTAAATTTTATCTAAAACTTTATATTCTTACATTCAAAACTTCTTAGACGTAGAAGGATAACTTTTAATAAAAGAGACTTGGTTAGTTTTAAAGCTACCTTGAATCAATAAGAAAATTGACAATCTTTTGCTTCTTTTAGAGGAAAAAACAAGGTTAGGGGAAAGAGAGAAAAAAAGATTTTGGACCTCCTATTAGATACTTACCAGTCTGAGCAGTTTCTGAGGGCATCAATTCCTTTCTTAAAGTGTAGATGATTTTTTCCCCCCTTTCCACTTACTTTACACAGATATTTCTGCAACTAAACTGAAGCAATAATCTGAATTGCTTCCATTAGAAAATGGACGGCTGGAGATTTAAACCTATTTACTTCTCAACCAAGTGCTACTGTTTGGCTGAGTCAGGGAGAATTGCAGGGTCAAGGTATGAAAAGAGTTGCAATCCGCTTGCTTGTTCATCTGTGGGGGTATGAATGTTCACGAGAAGAGAGAAAGAGGGATCTTTTTTAGTGATGTGGAAGGCTCATCATGCAGCAGAGATTCCTACTGGTTAAGGCGGAGGGACGATATATATTTTTGCCAACTTCACAGTCTCTGCAGCAGAGCCTCCCATGCTGGGTCGAAGAGTCTGTCATAACCTTGGAGTACATTTGTAAGAGACCCAGAGAGAATGAAAAAGGTAAATTGGGAAAATCATCTTCCTCCCAATCTGCAGTTCGGAAAATTTCATGATTATCGTTGTTGTTGCTGTCTTGTTTGGACACACTCAGTTCCATCAATATCCTTCCTAAAATTCAACTCCCCAGAATTGGATGCCATATTTTAGACATTGTCTGACCAACACAAAATGGAAAGCAGCTATTACATCTCTTGATTTTGATCCTGTGCTTATGATGTTGCATCTTAGAATTGCATTTTTCAAAAAAAAAAAAAACCCTGAATATTATATTTAACTCGTATTCAACTTGCAAGTCATTAAAATACCCAGAACCATGATTCATGTACTGCTGTCCGTTATGGTTTTCTCCACTTCTGCCATCTGATTTTTCTTTCACACGCGCATTTTGTCCCTCTTGAAACCCAGTTTGTTTTTTTGCTCATTGTATGAACTTGTCAAGGTCCTGCTGAATCTTGATATTATTCTCTGTTGTTTGCAATGCTAGTTTTGTGTCATCTGCAAATTTAATAATTGTGTTTTTTAACCCTTATCCAAATTATTTATCAATATGATCAGAACCTAGAATGGAACTGGACTGGAATTCAATTCAATTCTTACTTCTGAAGTTGAATCATTGATGTACTAGGATGATTGTTCAAGCAGTTTTATACACAACTAATAGCAGTTTAGCGTCAATTTGGTACAAAGGTTAAGGCACTGTGCTAAAAACCAAGAGCTAGAAAATCAAGATTTCTGGTCCTGTCACAACGCCAGCTGGATGACTTTGGGCCAGTCACTCTCTTTCAGCCCTAGAAAGGGAACTATTGTAAGCCACTTCTGAAATCTTGCCAACAAAACTGCAGGAACTGGTCCAGGAAGTTGCCAGGAGTAAACATTGACTTGAAGATACACACACAAACACAATGGTAGCATTACCCAGTCCACATTTTACTCTTATCTATCAGGGTTTCATGGAAAAATAGTAAATGCACTTTGGCCACTGTATTCTGTTGGTCAACAAAACTGGACAATCTGTTGGAAAAGAGGTCAAGTTATTTTGCATGGAATATTTAGTTGGATTATTACCATTCATTAAACGCCTTTGACACCATTGCAAGTACCTTCTATTCTAAAAACTGTGTTTTAAAACAGATAACTACTAAAAATGCAATGTGGTACAACATAATGAAGACCAGTAAATAGCAGATTGGCTCATATAGCCATCAGATTCACAAGCAATTAATGTTGTCTTTCATTTATCATTGTTCCTTTTGCCATCTAGCTATACCCACAATTTTAGATAGTAATCTAAATACCTTGCAGTCTACATTTCTGAGGGCTATCTATTAGCTCTGTTTCCAATACAGGAAGCCTATTGCTTCCAAATATTCAAAGCTATACATTATTTGCTAATTTTACATTTGGGTGAATGTATGACCTTCTTAATGTTACTGCCTCTAATCTTTCTTCAATTTTTCCCATTTTTTTCTATCAATAAAAATAAAAAAGATGGAAGCAACAACAATAAGATATGAGAAGGTTATATGTGGACATTGACATCATCCAGATCTCCCACAAAATTTGTAAGGAATTAGTGCAGAAAAAAATCCTCCATACTAATAATTTATAGCATCACCCAACCATCCTTATGATGATATAACTCATAATTGACCAATAGAATGTAACAATTATATGGGATCTTAGTGATCTAAACACATGTAGGAATTCACTACTGTATAACCACAGTGACAACAAAGTTACCTCATAAATATGGGTACCAGGATGTTCTACAGTAGCAAATCTTTTATCTTATGGCCTGGCAATCTCAGAAGTCTCCAATATAGTAATAACACTGACCTGCCACTTTCTAGTTGAGGACAGCCTCCTGTTTCTACTTTCCGCATTAAATCAAATATCAGAATTAGAATAGTTGGAAGCAACCTTGGAGGTCTTCTAATCCAGCCCCCTGATCAAGCCGGAGATCCTATACCATTTCAGGCAAGTGTCTGTCCAGTCTCTTCTTAAAAAACCTCCAGTGATGAAGCATCCACAAGGTCAGTCATTGTGTGAACACTTTGGGAATAATCAAGAAGGGTTTTCATATGAGAATTCTTTCAAGAGTTTTTGGAAAGGAAAGGGGGAAAGAAATGGGGAAATATGTATCTCATAACATAGGCCCCAAAGATAATCCC